GTGGGACATGGATGCATCGACTGGTCACCAGGTTGGGACTAACGTCATACATATAGTCCTTCGTTGTTTGGTATAAACTCAATTTTTTCCTCAATCATATTTGTACCAATTGAAGGACCAGACGCACAACGTTAGTTACTACCTAGAGTCTAGTCGAAGTCCAGGAAGTTTCATGAATGTACGGTCGTCTAGTTGGCGATTTCAGTGTAACCATCGTCTTGTTGTTTATTTTCTTATGGTCTACGTGTGTACATTCTGCAGTTTACTTTCTGAATTTTAGGTAATTCATCATTACCCCAGGAATTACAAAACCAATCCCCACTATCTCCATTAAAACAACACACAGCTCAAAATCTAATGATTACACAAGCATCAATAGTTATACCTGAAGCACTTCAGAGAGACAACAGTGCATTAAATACACCAAAAACATTGTGTAACTCAAACATTAATAACAATCATAATAAATCACATGACAAAAGCTTAAACTGTGATTCTAATTTAAGCAATTCTAAGTGTATAATATCCCCTCCCAACTATCAACAACAGCAGGATTATTCAGTCGGTAAAAATCATCTGTGTCGGCGAGACGGGACAAGTAGAAGGAGAATAGAAAAGACGTTCACACAGAATTCTTGCTGTTGTCATAGTGATAACTGTTGTATTATTTATTATAACTGAATTATTATTATTATTCATGCGTTGATTTATTTCCATATGCTTATTTTCACTAAGTTTTTTTATCCTGTGCCCACATTACTTAGTGCTGTATTATTGATTGGTTGATTTAATCTATGCCCACATGCTCTAAGTATAAAAAAAAATGACCTTCATTATTTGACGATTACGTATACCATGGTTTTTTTTCAATTCATCCAAACTTTTACTTAATTCACTGTGGGTTTGAAGTGAAGTTTTGCAGAAACAATACAAATGTAAAATAAGAAAGACAGTCTTTTTCTAATAATCCCGTCACTTTTGTTGGTACAAGAAGTTGGAAAATGACTTCTTGACAAAGTGGCAAGTTTCGATTTATGAGTCGCAGGTATTATTGGCCTTAAACAGGCGATTACCAGCCAACAGGAATTGGGACTTGATTTCCGTTTCCAACCCAGCAATCAGATGGCGTCTCATGGGGCCTTATACACACACACACATAATAAGTGCGGTTCTATTATTTGAACTGAAGACTAGCACAGGAGGCTTTCGGTCAGAATTCAAATTATACAAATATTGATTGCCAATTGTACGTTAGTTAGATAAACAACCAATCAGATCTCATCACTCTCTAGTAACTCCCTGGTTTACAGGGTTTCTCTAACTGAAGTCAATTCGTGATCACCACCACCACAGAGAACGGAAGATAACGAAGACGTCGTCCTGTGGAATCTCTGTTTTTTATACCGCGGACGGAAAGGACAAATCATAATAGTAAGAACAATGCCCATCTTTTATTACGCCAATTCATCCCAATTTTGTAATCCTCCGTTAATCATTCACTTTGATTTCCCACGTGAACAGAATATCACGTACACACACACACACACAAATGAACCTCAGTAGAACCAATTTATTCAGCTTTGCATACAATAGCTTTATATCAATGAATACGAATAAAATAGTTCAAATAATCTGGCATGAAATTCATGTCAATTATTGCTGCTTACTAATTCCAATGATTGATTTTCTAAAACTGATTTGTGTTGTAGACGGAATCTATATTGGCTGGCGACTTGGAGACCTTGGATTTGACCATAAACGATGGGTGCATTCTGTTGAGGATTCCCAAAGCTAGGATGAAGCAGCTCTTCTGCACTCCCTCGAAATCAATTTTCTAGATGATGTTGGTTTTATCTTATTTTGTTGTTGAGTCTTTTGTTTGACATTAGAATTGAGTGGAGTCGTACACAAACCAACAAAATCACTTCACTCAGTTGGCTCTATGTCAACCAAAAGATTCAACAACGGAAGAAGATAAAATCAACATCATCTACAAAATATAAATTGTAACAACTGCGAAAAAACACTACATTGGCCTTAGTCTTCGTATTCATGATCATAAGCTAACCGTCAAAAGACATGACATACACTCCTTCATATTACTACATACAGACAACCATGGACGTCAATTCGACTGGGAAAACGTTCAAATATTAGACAGAGGAATTTTATTAGAAGCCTGGTATTCCAGTGAATCATCAATCAATAGGCACATCGAGATAGACTAAATTTACCAACCGATAATAAGGAAATCAAATTGAAGTATGCGCTGAAGATGTTGCCTAGTAGGGCGTCAGTGGCATAGGGGTTAGGATACTCGCCGACCATGCACATTGTCCAGGGTTCGATCCCCGACCGATGCACTCCTTTACCTCTCTAAGCCAGAAATAATGCTGGTAAAGGGGAAAGGTTGGGCATGAGGCTAGCAACAGGAACTTCAAGCCACTAGCTTGAAGCGCTATTTTCCACTGGGGAACGTGAAGGAAAAAAAAGGGCGATGAAAGCTTCGCAAATAAACTATCCCGCTCAGAGAACACAACCACATCAAAAACTGACTAATGCCAACTAGTTACTGACTACCTCGTGTTCTGTAGAAACGTCATGACTATCAATTTGTCAGATGCGAGGGCAAATACTCGCCAATGACATTGGTTGACGTTAGATATCGCGAACGGGGCAGACGTTACAATGCATAGCCTACTGGCTTCCGTTCCGAAGGGCTAAAAGGATTCTCTCATTGATGATCAATCCTCGACCAAACTTGCTACCAGTCAAATTCCAACAAACTGATAGTTAGGAAATCTATACTTAAAACCTAAAATGACGTATTCGCAAACTTTGCATGCAGTTTTTTCAACTTCATCTCTGATGTACGTCGAGGATGTGAATTCATCGACCTCCTACATCACTGGTACCATAAATTTTAGTAGGCAGTAAAATGATGATGATCCAACTAAAACGACTGAAAATTACATGTAATACGAATAACAACCTACATCCATCCCTCCACCCGCCTACTATCTATTTATTTCTTTAACTCTGTCATATATATATATATATCCTATCACGCATACTTTATTACTGATTTCATTTTGCGCTATTCATCATTGTGTTATTAACCCTACTACTTAATCTTGATTCTGTTATTGACTGATTAGATATTGCCACTCAATAGCTGGTATTTTAACGTGATTGTGTATGGGGCTTGAATATTCAATGTACAAATGCATTCTTTCAGGTCCTATCATTTCAGTAAGATCTTGAAGATGTAGATAAATTCCTACAATTATAAGTCTACAGAATCCTTCATTGAACATTAAGTGCTGAATTTCACTGTTGAAATCACTTGTTTAAGCTGAAGGTACGTGGTCAGCCAATCACACTGTCTTGTTATATTCGGTCGTTTGTGCATGCAGCCTAGCTAGTTAAACAATTACTACTGGTCTACATTTCTAATCCCGAAATATATCGCGTATTTTGGACAAGAAGTCTGTTATTTTCATTTTTCTCTGGTCTCAATAGAAAACAAGTACTTTGGCGGTTTGAGGACAAACACTTGAATTTGTATACACCACATTTTGTGCAACCGTCTGTCTATATCCGAAAGTCGTTTGGATAGCGGTAAGACTAAAATCAGTTTTCAAAAATCACATGCTGTAGTGTAATTCGTCCAAACTAGGTTGGGAGGGGGTAAGAAGTAGTATTACTGGTGAATTGGGGAGGGATGTAACAGCACTGCAATGGGTAATGAATGGGTAAAAGACACAATCATCTGATTGGCCTTTATACTGACAGACGTTAATCTATAGAACAGAGAAGTGGCCAAAACACTGTTTAGATTGTCAGCATGACGACTACTACCACCCTCACCGTAGGCGAACTACAAAGGTTCTCTGATTCATAGATTTTAGATTTCTGATATCAGGACCAATCAGCTATTCTAAAAAAAGGGAATGAAAGAGTGCCATATAGATCTGAACAGCTCAATAGTGTATCTCACTGCAGCACTGGGTGACGCTGGTTTGAATCCCATTGTGATCATGAGTTCCTTTAAGGGTTGCACATATGTCATGACTGACAAGTGTCAAAAATCAGTAGTTGAATGATTAACTAGCTCACCGAAAGTGAGGTTGTGCCTTCGTACTGGTGAAATCCCAAAGAAAGGGGGACAAAACAGCTTTCGAGTACTCCTTGGTTTGTGCGTTGGTTAATTTAACAGTACAGTGCTCTAAAACCACGTCGCCAATGGTTCGGGTTCGATTCTACCGAAGCGTACTTCTAAACCTCGATTTACCTGGTAAAAACGGGGGGATGAGAGTAACGGATAGCGACCACAACCAGTAAATAAAACACATCGCCACTACTGGAACGTCAGAGCTCGAACCTGAAGGTCTATGTATCACCCAGAACGTAAAGGAACCGGAACTAAAGTACCGCATACAACATCCAGAGATTTATTTTTTAAAGTTTCTGATTTGAAAGAGGACATCAGAGAGAAAGAGTAATATCTGCGTGTGTGTGGCACTTACTCCACATACGTACGTATGCACACATACATACATACACACAAACACAAAATATGAACACAAACAAATACACGAAAACCATACACGCAAACACACAAACACACAATAAAAACAAATCGTAATGCATCAATGCATGGTTTGAGAGAGAGAGCAAAAGAGGAAAGTCTTGTGAAAAGTAAGGGAAAGGATAGATAATAAAACACCTTGTCACACATGTATGCTCACACAAAGACATACACATACACACAGACAGATGATGAATATTGTTGATGTTAGTGGCGTATTTTGTTTCGTGTATGTTTACACATCCGCAAACACACACACACACACACACACAAAGAGACACTCATGATTCATTGCCCACTTCATTTATTGATTCATTCATTCACCAGGTTGCTTGACCTCATCCACACACTCCTGGACAAGCAACCCAAAATTAAACAAAATAAATAATAATAGTAATAAAGTCGTCAATCAAACAAGGGGTATCTTTTCCTCGTTATGATGTCTAGATGGCAGAGGTGATGACGGTGATGATGATGATGATGAGGAGGAGGTGGTGGGGGAAGGTGATTTCTCAGATTGTTTAAATTTCGTTGGATTCGAATGACGGTATCCAGATGATGACGGTAGCAGCGGAGGCCTGTGTTGTTCTCCTCCTTGTTGATTACTCGGTTCAGTCATCATGTACAATGACGCTGGTGGCAGCTTTTGTTTCTCTTGTCTGGTAGGCTCAATCATCATTCGTTGTGATAATGAAGGTTGCAAATTATGCATAGAATTACTTTTATTGTTATTAGATTCGTGTGATTTCCGTTCAGCTTCATTTCTACAAGGGAAGGGGAGGGATGAGAGAAAACAAATACACATTCCGGGATGAATAACAAAGTACCGATTATAGGTTCCCTTTTGAAACAATAAGTCCACCATAATATATAACAGAATCTCTGTTTTGAAAATAATTACCCAGAGAAATTGCAACTTGGTAATCAGATAATGATTGAATGGCTGTGGTGAGAAAGACTTTTTATCAAGTTAACATCTGGATAACTGACAATGTGTAGCCCACATATATATGCTGTATCCATTTAAGCCTTCAAAGCACACGAAAAAACAATGTTACATTCCACTATATCTATCAATTTAGATGTACATGTAGTCGTCACACATACATAAGAAGGACTAATCGATCCCTGCTAGTAACGACTTCAGAGCATATGCCCTAATTTCGTTTCAAAAGCGAATCGTATCGAATCCTTTAAACCCATTAATGGTGAAAATAGATGGAAAACCTAGCTAGCTAGCTCCGCTATCGTGAAGTATATTGACGCTTTTAATATTTTCCAAATGGGAAACAATGAGTTGCAAGTGGGTCGAAGGGTTGCATGGAAAAAGATTACGTGTGGAGAGGGAATAAAAGCTTGTGAGCAGTAGTGCAACCAGTTGAAAGTGTGTGACACAGAAGAGAGTGTACAATAGAGGGAGATATTCCAAATCGACAAGCATGGAATGGAGGATAATAATAATAATAATAAGAAGAAGAAGAATAAATATCCTTACAATGATAATTACAGAGCACGATTTAAGCAAATACGTATTGTCGGTAAATTCTCATCGGGCTTTAGAATCACATAATAAAATATTAGTCATAGGAATCTGAATTAATGTGGTTAGTAAAGTCCACATAAGGAGAACGGATATAAAGAAATGCCTGCAAGCTATGAAGAAGATATATATATATATATGTATCACTTTACCATTTAAAGAAGACAGCCAGTAATTCTACTGGCATAGAAACATCGAAAAACAATAGCTAAAATATTCTTTGCCACAACACTGTTTGAAATTCGCCAGTCGTTGAATAATTTTAACACAGATGAAGGATAAGCTACTAACCGAGCGATGCTGGGGACATCACTCGTACCAAATTCCCATGAAACTTCATGAACTCTCTTACAAATTGCCGCGCTTGGGCAGCGATGATTCGAGACGTTCATGAAGCCGGCTCATCCTCCCGTAGGAGATAGCCGAAGTAAAGTAAAGTAAGTAAGTATAAGCTACTAAGTCTGGCCACTTCAATGTGCGCATTTATAAATTTAATTGTTCATGGGGAGACAAGCACATAAGCAGACCGACTCGGAAAGCCCACCATTGGCCTTTTGGAGCATTGCCTAAAGTGGTTAGGGAAAATGAGTTGTAAAGTCAATCAGGATTTCTATACTGGCACATCTTAGTGGTTACGGAGTACAAGAATGACAAAAATTCAGCTTTGAAAATTGTATACAGGGTGTGGTACCTCAACTCCCTAGGTTGGTACACCTTCGGTTGCTAAGCGTAGATAGCTGAGGCAGTCGCTATGATGTTTTTTTTCAACCCAATCTCTGTGTTCAGAAAATGTCTGTTCAATCTCTCTCGTTCCCTTGGTCTTCGCCCTAAACCTAAAATAGCTATCTCCCAGTGATACCGGGTAACTGCAAAATATTACCTTATTATATTTTTCATAATATAATTTTATTTATAACGCGAACTGTATTACCAATATCACGCTGTGCTGTTGTTGTACATTTTATTCTCGGTTTGACAATTTAACATTAAATTATCTAATAGCTATGTGACAATGGTTAATTCACCCTCTAGCCTTCCTTACTAGTATGCACATTATCTACCTATATACTCACACCACTCCCTAGATTACAGACACACAAATGAAATTAGCCTTTATTATTGTTATTATTATTATTAATATGGCGACGTTGATCTTTATCCACAATTAATTCACATCACTGAACTGTATAGTCCTATATACCTTATTAATCAGATTAATTCAAATCCCTATGACTAGTATTTCATCACTGTGTGTGATTGTAAAGTCTGGTGAGAATTTACCGGCAAATACATATTTGCTTGAATCATTTTCGACAATAATAAAATCAATTTTTTATTACATGATTTCATCCTCCCGTCCCCCTTGGAAATTCTTTATTCACCTACATTGATGGGTAAGAAAGTTAGAACTCTCTCTCTCTCTCTCTCTCTCTATATATATATATATATATATATAATTATTCCCTTCGGTTCCTAGAGGAACATAGGGCTTCAGCTATTCCTCTCCATTTGCTTCTGTCTTCCTTCTGCTGTACTCTTCACCTGTATCCATGTTAGTCCATACTGTTTCAACTCCTCTTCACACGATCTCCTCCATGTAACCCTCGCACTGACGTCCCACTCGCCGCTTCCCTTTCGGGCTGGTTCCACTCGAGCAATGGCCTGACGCGCGCGCCATGTCACCAACCGGCCTCCTTAGCGAGTGTCCAATCCATCTCAATCCACTTTCTCCTGCATATTTGCTGTTGTTGGGCGATTGGTTCTTGTTTTGTTTGTTCCAGCCATAGTTTCTTGTTGGTGATTCTTTCCGACCCGGCCTCGGCCATCTGATCATCGGCATAGAGCGAAGACAGTTGTTGATAAAGGTCTGGTCTGCAACAGGCTGTTGGTGGAAATATTCTTTGTGACCCACCCGCCAAGTTTCTGATTCGATCCGTATAGAAGAACTGAATGACTTGAATTTTTATTGAAAATCCGACCGAATTTTGTTGTTGATGCAGAGTGACGAAGATTTTTAGATTGATTTCAGGTTGATGAATGTGTTTCTCGCCTTCCCGACACCCTCGCTCGATTTGACATCCTCGTCCGTTCCGACTGTCTGTAGTTGAGACAATGCTCCCTACATAAGCGAATGAAGTAACCTCATTCAAATCCCTCCCGCTGATGGTGATTGGCACTGGATGTTGCTAGCTGCCTAGTTTTCTAGCCTGTCCCAAGCCCGGATAAAGAGGGAGGGTTGGGGCATGGTGCTAGCAACTCCACCCCCCGCCCCCAAAACTTAACCAAATCGCTACAGAAACTCCAACGCACAAATATATTAAAAATTCTAATATATATATATATATATATATATATATATATATATATATATATATATATATATATATATATATATATATATATATATATATATATATATATATAGAATGATTTTAGAGACTGATGTTGAAATTTAGTTAACTCGAGCAGATCTTTGATGGGCCAGGTCAAACTTTTTGTGTGAAGGCTAATGATACTACCCAGTTGGTCAAGCCGTATGAGATATTAGGGGATTCGACACCTGGCGCTATTAATTTCAACAAGATAATGAGAAGAAAATGTAATTTTTCTCAAAAGTGTAATGTGTGTTTTTGTGAGTAACACATTTCGGACAGACTGGTCAACGCAGACACGTGGTATAACTTTTCTTATATAAAAGTTGACAGAGTAGAAAAGGTGGAGATTGAAACAATAACGATCAAAATGCATAAGAGTCAGGGTCACTGATAAAGGAGTTGTGAAATAACCCTTAACTTTTGGATTGGACTACGAAGTCAAGCTTAGTTCTTGAAGCCAATTAGGAATATGTTGTATAGTCCTAACCTGGAGAGATTGATTGATTGATTCGCCCCAATATGCTGTAAGGGTTTAAATTTCGATCCAATTATTGGTAAGATTTTGATCCTTTATCTTCGGATACCTTTTATATAAACGGATAGATAGGCGGCGCATTACAAGTGCTCGTGTATGTATGTGTATGTGATCAGAATCTTCGAATTGTACTGTCCATGAGTCAGTGGTTCAGTAGTGAACTGCTAGCCAACTGCACTCCAGGTGGTTTAGGCTCAATTCCTGGCAGCCACAGTACACTTCAAACTCTATTAACCAGTGAACAATGAAGGTTGGGCGTAAGACCAGTAGCAACCTAACTCCCCCCTGTAGAAAAAAACCAATAACACACACTACTTCTACTGAAGCTTCAAAAATCTCACTTGAAGCCTTATGTTCCACTCGGAAGGCAAAGGGGTATGCGGAAAAAAGTGTATTGTCCATAAATATACAAAATAAAGGCAATTTAATTGCTTCCACTGGATACCTTGAACACCGATCATCGTTTTAATGTATAACAACATTTGTTGTTTTTCTAGCAAATAAGAAACAACAGTCTATAAACCAGTTGATAGAAGGTAAAAACGAAAAAAAAATAGAAGAAAAACTTTCTATCCTTGTTGATGTTGTTAACTTACTTTTGTTCAGAAACAATCCATACTGCGTTTGTGTGTCACAGGGTGTGTGAGAGTTAGTGAGGTAGTCGTCAATCAAATAAAAAGGGAAGAACGTAAAAGAAAAGAGTCAATCGATAAGCAATCCAAAAAAAAATGAACGTTTTTGTACATATATATGCACACATGCGCACAGGATAGTAGGGGATACACACTAGGACAAGACAACAACCAGAAATACACACCCTGTCTTTTTTGTATAATAAGGTGAGCAATATTGAGGTTAGGCGTCGAGTTTTAGGTAAGGAGGGGGAATCAATCGACGAAGTTGTGAAGTTACATAGACTGAGATGGTTAGGACATGTGTTACGTATGCCAAGCCATCGCCTCCCTCGACGAGCTATGTTAGCGGATATAGGGTCAGGTTGGAAAAAAGCTAGCGGAGGTCAAACAAAAACTTGGCTTTACCAGTCAATGAAATCCACAACAGTTGGTCTAAGCCACATAGAAAGGTGTAGACTTCCAGGCTGGGGTCCTTGGGACGGTAAAAATCTATGGTTGGAAACAATTGGTGACATGGCTCAAAATCGTTCTCAGTGGCTAGCGCAGATGCATCCACTCCCTGTGACTTATGATCTTCAATGAAACTGTTTTGTTCTTCGTTATTACTCCTCCTTTGTCTCACACTTCTGCTCACTGTTTCTATTATGCTTTTCTTGTACTTTCTTCTCTTGCTTCGCGTGCTACACGGAGTGTGGCGACTTGAACTTCCGCACATTTGTGCAAAGTTCTATGTCGAAAACAGACAGACAGACACACTCTGTCTTTTTTGTTTTGAGGAAAAAAAAACACAGAAACAAAGGAATATCACACATTAAAGACTATATATTGTTCCATTAGTTAGTTAGTTAGTTAGTTAAAGAAGTGTGATACTTGATGCATCAAAAGATTTTTTTTTTGGATAATTTATGTAGAAGAAACACAAGTTATTAGTTGTGTTGTTTTCTTTTAATTTTCTTTGCATTCCAAGGCTGGAGAAAAGGATTCAAATTTTCCTTAAGTTTCAGTAGCTTGTGATAGTGGTGTTGCCAGTCAGTCGTAGGATTAACCTTCCCTGTTTCCAGGGGCTTACACTGACTGTTGCTAGTAGAGTAGAGTAGGGTTTAGCAGTGGAAATGAATTCGACATATGCCAAGGAGACATGTGAATGACATCACATGCTGCTCAGATCGTCGAGTGTAACCTGACTTGGAATCTAATGTTATGAGCATCCAAGGGTCATATGGGAAAGATTATGTACAGATGAATAGAAAGCTAGTGGACAATTAGGCAGAAAGTTGATCGTGATAGCAGAAAATTGAGTGGAGTGTATATGTGCTACTGAAGGCCTAGTGAGACGCCAGTTTAATAATAATTTTTCCTTCACGTTCCCAGTGGAACATAGGGCTTCAAGCTAGTGGCTTGAAGTTTCTGTAGCAGTGTTTAGTTTTTACAGGATGGGGTTGCTAGCCTCATGCCCAACCTTTCCTCTGTACCAGCATTTCTGGCTCAGTGAGGTAAAGGAGTGCGCCGGCCGGGGATCGAACCCCGGACCATATGCATGGTCGGCGAGCGTGCTAACCGCTATACCACCGACGCACTGAGACGCCAGTAACGAATAATAATAATAATAATAATAATAATAATAATAATAGTAATTTCTTGGCTGAAATGAGAAGAAAGAACTATCTGTACAAGTATCTTCATTTGACGGAATCAACCGACCGACTGTGTTTTCAACGCACAGGTTAGGTAGTTTAAGTCGCCATATTCCATGTAGCATACAAAAGTAGGGATAACAATCACAGAAACTATAATGCATAATTGCATGGAGAATCTGGAAGTGAGTGCATCTCTCAGTCATTGGACACAATATTCAATCATACATGTCATCAGTAGTCTGCGGTTACTGCTCCTTAGTGTCTCGAAGAATCCGGCCAGGCAGTCGATATCTTTCCAGATGGCTGGTACAAGCCAGTAGTCAAGGACTATAAAGACTCTTTTCCAAACTAATCCTATTTTGGCAAACACCACCCGTTGAGTAAAGTGGTGGTTCAAGCATGCACAACGTGTCCTAGCCATCTCAGTCAATTCACCTTCACAACCCCAATTGGATTGACTTACTCTTCTTACCTAGCACTAGGAGTAAATTTAATACTGTCCAACACGAGAGAACCAAGCAGGCTTTAAATCAGGAAGAAGATGTATTGACCATGTCTTCACACTTCGACAGATTCTGGAACATAGGCATACTTGCCCGGCGTCCAACAATCGTCACATTTCTCGACTTGAAAGCAACATTCCATTCTGTCGAATGAGAGGTACTCTGACAATGCTTGACTGTAAAGGGAATGCCGATAAAATACATTGTACTGATCAAGGCACTCACTCCACTCAAACTCACGCAGCCAGGTGACAGCCTACAGCGAGTTGTCATCTGAAGTGGTGATAACCAGTAGTGTCCGTCAGGGATGACCACTATTTCCATTTCTATTTAATTTCACCATCTCCCATGTAAAGTCATATAATAGGTTGAGCAATATTGGAGTTAGGCGTCGAGTGCTAGGTAAGCAGGGGAAATCAATAGACGAGGCTGTGAATTTGCACCGATTGAGGTGGTTAGGACGTGTGTTACGCATGTCTGGTCATTGCCTTCCTTGACGGACAATGTTAGCTGACATAGGGTCAGGCTGAAAAAGAGCTAGCGGCGGTCAAACCGAAACACTGCATCAATCAATGAAATCTATAACAGTTAGTTTAAGCCATGTAGGGAGGTGTAGATTTCCTGCTTGAGGTCCTCGGAATGGTAAAAACCAATGACTGGAGACAATCGGTGATATGGCTCAAAATCGTTCTCAGTGATGGCTGGCGCAGATGCATCCCATCCTTGTGATTTATAATATCAAATAAAACTGTATATTTCTTTGATATTACTATTTTTGCCTCATATCTCTGTTTACTGTCTCTATCTCGCATTTCTTTTTTGCTTTCTTCTCTTGCTGTGTGCGCTAAGTGAAATGTAGCGACTCGAACTGCAACCCATCGGTGCAAAGTTCTATGTTGAGACCAGTTAGTCAGTCAGTCAGTCATACGGATAGTTTTTAAGTTATACACTGTGTACTGAACGTCTTATTTACTCAGTAGACACGCATAAATTGAGAAGATGAAAACAGTTAGCAGGTAGACGGTGAATAGCAGCAGTTGGATACATGATGCGAATCCCACTCTAATTGGGATTCGTTATGTGGATGTACCCTTATTCCCAAGTGAGTGATAGTGTTTCCACTGAGATTCCAAACACAAAAGCGATATCCAGTAGGCCACTTAGGTCGCGAAAGTCACCTCTTGTTCAACAGTTTATCAGCCAATGTTTGTTCAGGTCAATTTTGTTTTTCGCGCCAATTGATTGGACCGAAATGTTTGGCCTCTGTTAACCTCTTCGCACTCACGTAGATAAGGACACTTCCATGATGTCTGATTGATTAACAATGACGTGTTATATTGGTGGATGAATATATCAACAATGGAACCCAAGATGCACATCTCATCCCATTTGGGACTTGTCAGTCAGGTGCACCCGCAAACCCTAATGAGTGATGGTGTGTTCTTTCGAAGCATCCTATACAAGGAGCTGACATGACAACAGAGGACCGAACATTTCGGTTCAATCAACATGAACGGAGAAAACAAGGCTGTTTTGTACAATAGACAAAAATAGATTGAATTGTATTTATACCCTTTATTATATTGCTATGTTACTAAGACCTAACGAAATCCATGTCATTTTTTAGAATGTCGGCGACTGAAGAAAAGCCATGAAAGCCGTATTACATATATATATATATATATATATATATATATATATATATATATATATATATATATATATATATATATATATATATATATGCTTTTTACTTCAAACTAATCAACGGGCAGGGAATGTATGAAACAAAGGCGACGCCAGTAAGAATTACAACAACAATCTGAGCCTCGATGCATGCATTATAGGAATACTCTGATTGCAAGCATAGAAATACACAGATACACATACACACACACACACGTGAGTGTACAACATCATAGTCTCACCGATTAGTACGATTATTAAAATCAACACTAGTAGAGCCAATACAGTCAACATCTGAATAAAGAGACAGTGAGAGTGAGAGATAGAGGGAGGGAAAGAGATATAATACAATATATATATATAATGATATATAATACAATATAACCTAATAAATGTTTTAGAAATATAATGAGAACAAAATAAAGAAGGATAGGTATATCGTTGGACATTAGAAGAGATTTAGGACACTGATAGAGTATTATGATTGCAATAAACAATACCAATAGAGAAAAAAAAATACTCTTGAGCAGTATACATTCAGTACTACCACTTCCAGGGAACTAACTCCAAGACCTTCAGGTTATAAAATCAAGCTTGTTAACTGTAATACAACCACTTGGACAGGAATTTAATCAGCTGTCTACTCTAATTTCTGTTATTTCCAACCAGGGAACCAGTGAAGACGAGACGATACAATCAGGTGCAGTAAAATCGTCTACTAGTCAGTCACTACACACACGTGGATGAGTGATCCCTTAACTTGGCCTTGTAACCTAAAGGAATTGAATTGCAGCAATTCACGGGGGAAGTCAAGGATGTGCACTGATGACGAGACCTAAGTCGGAGGGAGGGGGCGGGGGGGGGGGATAAAACAACTGCCCTGTAATTAATTCCTGAAGGTTTTCACAATGATACGCAAATTGATACTAATTTTTACCGAGATCTATATTAAAATTAATCCAGACTCCTACAACAGGCAGGAACTTATAATCTAATTATTAATAACAAAATATAAAAGACCATTTAGCTAAGAAAATGACTTCTCTCTTCATCGATGAAGTCATCTTCAAAGACTATAACACATTCGTGTTTGCTTATAATATTTACTAAAATTGTATGCTAAACAGTTTATTGTTGGTCAACAGGTGTGTGTGTGTGTGTGTGTGTGTGTGTGTGTGTGGTATCGTTGATACAATTACAGACCAACTTTTCTACAGTCGGTAAATGATCAATAGGAGTGTGCCTCGCGAGCTTATAACCTACTAGTGAGTAAAATGGCATGAAAGGTAATAGCTATGTTGTTTGTTTTAAAATTGATTCAGCGCCCCTAGTGAGGACGACGATTCAACCATATCCGGGGATTAACTGTTTTTTTTTTAATCACCCCCCACATGAAATTATATCATCAGTCTTGGTGGTGCACCGGCTTAGGCACTCCATTTTCAATCCATGGGTCAGTGATAAGATTTATCAGTAGTATAAAAACAGGCGTTTATCGGCGCAAAAATATCAAATTAGCTGAGAGATTGATTTGGTGTCAAAGACAGCAAATGAATGAACCAGTGTTTCAGCATAACATTTTTTTATCCTTCACGTTCCCCAGTGGAACATAGGGCACCTTCAAGCTAGTGGCTTGAAGTTTCTGTAGCAGTGTTTTTAATTTTACAGGATGGAGTTGCCAGCCTCATGCTCAACCTTTCCTCTTTACCAGCATTATTTCTGGCTAAGCGAGGTAAAGGAGTGCGTCGGTGGCCGGGGATCGAACCCCGGACCATGTGCATGGTCGGAGAGCGTCCTAACCGCCGCTATACCACCGACACACCGCAGCATAACATGGGAGACACGAGAAGAAGACAAAGAAACACAATACGAAGGGTAGAAGTAACAAAACACGGAAGATCTATGCAACTGATAATTTTCAGATAAAGTGTACATAATTTCGCTACATAAAGATATCTAATTCCAAATAAACATTCCATTACCAAATCTTTTGTCTTCTTTCTTACCGTTACATTATCATCAACCCTTTCACACGATATAAAGTGTGGCTTTTAGTCAAGTACACGTCAAATCTGTTCCAGATAACTAAGTTAAAACAACGCATCGATGGATGAAAATATCAAATGAATATGGACCAAACAGACATATATATATATATATATATATAGTAATTGGTTAGAGACAGTGACAATTCATGCCAACATTTTTGTGCAATCTCTTGATACTACTGTCATTTATCCGAACTTGTAAAGGCTGGTGCTGGCTAGAGAGGCAAGCGGGGAAACTTAAAGGCGCTAAACTCAAATATTCAATAGGCAATATAAATATTTAATAATCATAATAACAATACACTTGTAAGCTTACTTTACAATTTTTCCACCAGAACTTCCTTTTCAGTTTACCAGCGCTTGCTTCAAACTGTGAAGCACCGGCTTGTAATGCATCTGGTAGAAGTAATAAAATAAATGAATAGTAGTAATAAACAATATAAACATTACTTCTACAACAAACCTCTAACAAGTACAAGTATAAATGCAATCGATCCTAATAGCAAAAACAAAATTTAACTGACAGGATTCGTCCTAGGAAGGTATTTGGTAGCAAACATCATCTTTCATGAGGATGTGCTACTTAACCATCGATCAAAGAATATATGGACTGCACTGCACTGCATAGTAGTTCGCTCTGTCCTTCTTGACAGATGATGCCAAAATGTCCATTAAAAGTAGAAGAAATGTGAAACGGTTTGCTATCTTTGACTACAAATGTTTGTGTTCCACTGTCCATCTTAAGCGGTATAATTTAGGCGAGTAATACTGAGGTTCAACGTAGTGTTAGGTAAGAAAGTTATATCAACCAATGAAGTTTTGAAGTTATATAGATTACGATGGCTGTGAAAGTGTTGCGAATACTGAGCCAGCAAAGTAGGGAAGTAGTGCAGACTACTTAGTTAGATTTCTCAAGACGCTAAGAATCAAATGGCTAGAGACTGTTGCTGGTATGACTCGAAATCCTTTCCTTCTCAATGTCGCACATGTATTCACTCTTGGTTATATCCCATATCCTTTAAACGCTGTCGTTTTTCCATGTTACTATTTTCTTCCTCCTGTAGACTCCTGCATTTCTTCCTTCCCTCTTTGTGTGCTACATGGTGTCTGATAACTTCATGCAATACACTTTTGTGCATAGTTGTATGTTGAAACCCAGTTGATCAGGTTTCTTATATATCAGGCTGCTGTTCACACTTAATGTGCAAATGACACGTGATGAGACTACTGTCTAGTTGTATCCAGCTTGGAATGTACTAATGTCAATTCATTGAGCGTTTCAATATAGTTCAAAGACCTGGCAAATCATAATCTCTCTGCTGAAGACTTGACATTGAAGACCAGATGGAGGAGCCGGAAAGGATGGGGGACACGGAACTCTGGCAATGGATCAACCAAAAACCTATCGACCAAAAAGTATACAGAATGAAATGGAGATGAAATGGATTGGAAATACACTCATGAGACTGTTGAATGACTTGCCAAGCAGGCCTTCGAGTGTAACACCCTAATAAGAAGTGATGCATGAGACGTCCGAGGATGAAATGAAAGAGACTGAGTGAAGAGGATGAAAATGAAAGCTTGTGGAATAGGGCATTGTTGGATCAGTTACGAAAGACTGAAGAGAACAAAGTGAAATGTCGGTGTACTGTTGAAGTCCCCATTTTCCACTCAGAACCCAAGGGAGTAATGATAATAATATAACCATAGGCTGGACTGCAGTTATGTTGGAGTTACAACACATTGACTCCACTGAAACTTAATCCAATGCCCGATGAGTTCTAACTTCTATCTAATATCGTGGTAACCTATTTATCGATCATTCCACAAGCCAACAATGCCCGGATACATGCACATCACATTCGATACAATATGATGTGAAAAAGTAATGATTGGCTAAAAATGTTTTGAGCATTTATGTCAAAGAGATATACCCTAGATAGCTAGTATTAGTGCGTTACACAGCATACCGTTTACTGTTTTCATCAAATATAACTGTTTCAAGAGTTATTTTTAAATACCACATTTAAAATAAATATATGAGAACTCCGTTTAAGGGGTGACTGAATATCTACACAAAGACTGGAGTTGACTTCATGGGACCGAAAAACTCAGCCTCTGTTAACAATGTCTACTAAGGACGTCCATACTTACAGTTATGACGTGAAGTTTAATAACATAATGTTATTTAGTTGATGGTGCCTTTCAGTGGAATTTTGATTTCTTCTTCGTCTACATGAAACAGAAAAAGCATTAGTGTTGCGTGACCCAGGCGACTTTTTAAGGCAGTCATACAAACATGGTCTGTTTGAAGTGGTTTTTGTAGTTGTGCCCATATTAAGATCTTATAGCCAACTATGGAACGCGCAAAGTCAGGCTGCGTAATCTTCGAGGTCAACCTTCCCCAACTATCCCTCTGCAGGGCAGAAGGGCGGCTTAGCTGGTGTGCTAGACATCTGAAGAAAACATCTTACTACTGTTACTTCCTCACTACCAGCAGTACAACTTCGCCCGAAGATCCCCAACATGGTGTAAACCGTGGACCTACGGGAGCATCATTTCCAGTCAGTATAGATCGTTGTGGGTCACATTGCGATATACCAACCCCACCACATCAAGGTAGGAGCTGTCGGTTGAGGATTCAGGATATGTATCCCTCCTTATTTGGGACCTATCTATTAAATGTACCTACCTACCTACCTATACTCTAGGAAGCTCAGTAGCTTAGCATGTCGTACTTTGCATCTCACAACTAGAATACGCAATCATTCTCACATCTGATAAGTCCTAAAAAAGGGAGAGAGAAATTAGCCTCCTGCACTCCACTAACTAACTGGTCACTATCACCAACAAAGTAAGTATATAACGCGCAATACTTGCACAAAATCTCACTCAAGAATCTTATCTGACTTGACTTTTTTCCAAGAGTGGATATCAAATTTAGGTAATTAGTTTTCCATTAAAGTGTATTCCGTATAAAAAAAAAGAAACTCTGGCAACAAACCAACCAAGAGCTGATTGTTCAACAAATATATATAGGAGAAGAAAAATGGGGATGAATAGGACATACACTGAGGAGATCGTCTCCTGATAACATCGCGCGCCAGGCCATAACTCTACTGGAACCCCAATGGGAAGAGACGAGTGAGTCGTCAATGCAAGGTTGACATGGAGGAGATCGTGAAAGGAGACAAGAGATTATCGGCAATCGTGGACCCAGCTAAAGAGGACAGACAGAACCGAATAGCAAAAAGCGAGTTGTGTTGTTGAAGCCCTATATGTTCCCCTCGGAACCCAAGAGAAAATATTTGAATGATGTATGAATTATGATAATTAGTGATTTTACGCTCATCTGGCGTTTGATTAAAAAAATAATATTCTCCTCATCATCAATTTTGTATCACTCCTGTAGTGCAGTCAAAAATTGTATTCATCAAAGGCCCATATTTATGCATGAAAATGTTAATTAAAGTCAATTATTGATACCAGCTAGTAAAAAAAAACCCTACGAAATTACATACATCAGGAAGAAAAAAAATTGACTAAAATTAAGAAGTTTAGTTATATCTGTCTGTCTGTTTTCGACATAGAACTTTGCACAAATGTGCGGAAGTTCAAGTCGCCACATTCCGTGTAGCACGCGAAGCAAGAGAAGAAAGTACAAGAAAAGCATAATAGAAACAGTGAGCAGAAATGTGAGACAAAGGAGGAGTAATAACGAAGAACAAAACAGTTTCATTGAAGATCATAAGTCACAGGGAGTGGATGCATCTGCGCTAGCCACTGAGAACGGTTTTGAGCCATGTCACTAATTGTTTCCAACCATAGATTTTTACCGTCCCGAGGACCCCAGCCTGGAAGTCTACACCTTTCTATGTGGCTTAGACCAACTGTTGTGGATTTCATTGACTGGTAAAGCCAAGTTTTTGTTTGACCGCCGCTAGCTTTTTTCCAGCCTGACCCTATATCCGCTAACATAGCTCGTTTAGTTATATAGTAGTTTTAAATAATGATTATGGATTAGAATTGACTATATGAGTAAAAAACCAAAATTCAGCACGTGTACAAGATATATACTTTAATATTCAGAGTTGGAGAAGTAAACGATAAAGACAAGAACGAATGAATATGGTTTTTTTTTTCAGTGAAGAACTTTGCACAGTTCAGCTAACGCATCCTTCATGAAGCAAACAAAGGGAAAAAAAAAGAAATTCACAGAAATTGCAATAAGCAGAAATATGCAGAAGAAAGAATAGTAACATGAGGAATAAAATGCGTCGAGGAGATTACAAAAAGTGAGTGTGTACCTGCGCCAATGAGGATGATTTTGTGCTATATTACCAACATTACCAAGCTGTTGGTTCTTAGCATCTCGTGGATCTCAGTCAACCAGGTATTCTGCATCTTCTTTTACATGGATTAATGTCAGCTTTGACGAACCCTAACTCTTTTCCAGATAACAGTACCCTTCGAGAAAGACGGTGACTCGGTGTGAGCAATACATGTCCTAGCTATCTTAATCGATGTAGCTTTACAATCTCATTGATTAAATTACCCTCCTTACCCAACACTATATATATATATCCTTTGTGTGTAGCAAGAACCTCTGCTGTGGACAGAAGATTTTGCGGCTGGAAACGCTTCCAACGAATTGGCCTTAGCTGTTGACAAGGAATGATTTATAAGAATAAGTTGCGCTAAATGCTTCGTTTAATTGCTCCATTTTAGAGATTTTCTTGTGCACGGCTAGAAAATATCCCCCACAGAAGCAAGTCAGTTGATATATATATGTCGATTTTTTCAACAGTGGAACACTGACTTTCACACTTCTCAATCGACAGAAGGTTGTTTGGAGAATGTTAGACGTAAGCATGCGGCGAAGCATATATTTTCCGAATTGTTCTTGATAATCTGCGCCGGAGTATTTCAGGTTTACATAACTAACTTCTGCTTACTTTTGATATTTCTGTTTTCATGAATGACTTTTTAGCAGGACACTATTCAATTATACAGCTTTCTGAGGTTAAGTTACCGAAAGAATATTGCCCCAACGGGCTGATCTCTGACGAAATCTCAGCACGAATACAAGGGGCTCGTTTCGCATTTGTTAGTTTACGCCGACTCTGGCGTAGACGAGATGTTCCACTATCGACCAAAGGGCGGGTGTACTGCTCATCAGTTCGCTCCGTCCTCCTTTATGGTTGTGAGACCTGGCCACTGAGAGTGGAAGACATGAAAAGACTAGCTGTCTTTGATCATAGGTGCCTGCGTTCTATTTCCCGTGTAAAGTGGCATAATAAGGTGAGCAACATGGAGGTTAGGCGTAGAGTTCTAGGTAAACAGGGGAAATCTATCGACGAGGTTATGAAGTTACATAGACTGAGATGGTTAGGACATGTGTTACGTATGCCAAGTCATCGCCTCCCTCGACGAGCAATGTTAGCGGATATAGGGTCAGGCTGGAAAAAAGCTAGCGGCGGTCAAACAAAAACTTGGCTTTACCAGTCAATGAAATCCACAACAGTTGGTCTAAGCCACGTAGAAAGGTGTAGACTTCCAGGCTGGGGTCCTCGGGACGGTAAAAATCTATGGTTGGAAACAATTGGTGACATGGCTCAAAATCGTTCTCAGTGGCTAGCGCAGATGCATCCACTCCCTGTGACTTATGATCTTCAATGAAACTGTTTTGTTCTTCGTTATTACTCCTCCTTTGTCTCACATTTCTGCTCACTGTTTCTATTATGCTTTTCTTGTACTTTCTTCTCTTGCTTCGCGTGCTACACGGAATGTGGCGACTTGAACTTCCACACATTTGTGCAAAGTTCTATGTCGAAAACAGACAGACAATGTAGGTCGGAGACACACTGAGAAGGACGTTGAATGACATCATGCGCCAGACAGGTCGTCGAGTGTAACCCGAATTGGGAAATGACGAGTTGGGCTATGCATCAAGGGTGACATGGAGAGAAGAGATGGTGTGACTGTGAAGCCTTATGTTTCACTCAGAACTTGCTGAGAAGAATAATAATAGTAACAATAATAATGACACTATTCTGTAGGCGCTTTTTGCAGAAGTAGTAAATAAGTGTACATATAATCAATAAAAAATACGACAATAGGTATAATGGATATCTATTCGCATCTATTCCCTATGACACTGACATGCCCCGACAGTATTGTGCACTACCCAATATTCGGAAATGAATAAATGACAATAACTTCAACTACTCGTATTGTTTTAGTTTTTTTTTTTATTGTTGATGACAGGCTAATAGAGATAAGAGCTAAAAGTCGATGTCAGCTACTGTTAACTGCATCATTCCTTTCTTTCCTCCTTCACATTAATTATTTCATATTTATATTATTATATTTATACTTTTATACGCTTCACAGCTAACAGTACTCGTTATTTTAAACAACAACAACAAAAAGATTTATAGCCTAAGGTGGATGCTATTAATGGGACTAGGTTGTTACAAGAGTTGAGTGGTGGTTAGTTTAATTGTAAAGCAGCTTTCATTGTCCACCTTCTGATGATCTTCAGTGTGACTGTTATTTGTTGCCTTCAGTAGTTTTTATTGTCCTTGTGCGGGATTTCAAAACGAAACACTGAAGTGTTGTGTTTAGAAGGAGAACAACGATTGAAAGTTGCTTCACAACTATAAACCACTCGGTTCTAGACGAAACAAGCAAACTCCACAAATTCTCCATCCTGCCAAGTTAATTGAATATTAAGATGATGGAGATATAGATTAAGCTTAGTGTAAACATCCAAAGGGTAACCAAATAACAATGATGATAATAATGGGGTGACGTGAACAACTGGAACTAGAATGGGATACGACGAGTTGGGCGTTGGGTTTAAGAACGACACAGAAATCATGTGATGAAAATGAAATGAAGTCTTATGGGTGGGGAAGCTAGATGGAAGTAACTGCAGTGAAAAACGGGGCAAAGGCAAAGGTACTCGCGGTAGTCCCATGGTCCACTAGGGAAGCAAAGGATGAACAATTATATCTCATAAAGCCTAACCTATTACTGACCACATCATAACACAACATAGCAAATAGAAGACAAACACCAAAGGTCAAAGACAGTCAGTCGCCTCAAGTTCTTCATTTTCAACGGTCACATCTTACTCACAGTTATAAAGAAGGATAGAGCAGACAGCTAAGCAGCATATACTGCCCTCGACCGATAGCCATACTTCATGTTAAAGCTGGAGACAACGTAATTTGATAAACGCCACATGAGCCTTTTGTATCCGCGCTGGAATTTCATCAGAAATAAGTCACGATCAGGGCTGATATAACTTCCCGAATACGTGAAGTGACCAACTCAATGTCTTTAAACTATAAAGCAGTTCAAGCCAGTCCTGTGGTATCACTATTAAATTTGACACGGGTGAATCACACACCAAACATATACCAAGACTGCTGCTCAAGATGTTTGCCCTTAAAACGATACAGCCAATGAACCGCATCAGTTAGAATCCACTCTTCATTTCTGCTTTATGCATAAATTGGAACATGACAGTTAACATTCTTATCAACAGAATTTAACTCCTCCACAGACCCATGGTTGCTTTGGTGGTTAGGGTGTACACATATTAATATCAGTAATATCAGTACACATATTTATGGTTGAAATATTTGAAGGCTGTGTATTAGATTGCATTAAACATTACATTATAAGAAAGTTATGATTTTAAATACTGCAGACTAAAAAAATAATAAATAAGATGTGTGTCGTTGATTTTCAGTGGTAGAATGTTCTCCAGACACTCAGGAGATCCACATTCTCTTCTCAGTAGACGCACGCTTATAAAATATCGCCTAGTTTATTAGTAGCCAGTAGAAAGCCTAGAAAACAGCGATGACTGGTTGTAAGATGATCACCCCTATCAGGTTAAACTAAAACGACATCATCGCTGGTAAAACTTCAAGACTTGAAGCCCTACAGTGGATGGTGACTAGCAATGGAATCTAAGATGCGCATTTCTTCCTATTCAGGACTCGTCACTGGATGTACCTGCATTCCTCAGTAGGTGATAATGTTCCCACCGGGGATCGAATCCAGTACCCACCTTTTAAACACCAAAGCGTTATTCACTCTAACTTGGGCCGAACACTTAGGTCGAATAAATCAACGGGGAAATCCAAACTGAAGTAAGCAATACTTGAAGCCATTTGTTCTGCAAGGGACTCAAACAATTTAAATTTAAATGAATACGGCATTTTAATATATCTTATGTCATATCGCAGTAACATACCAGTCTATCCACTAGTGTAGTGTAGTTTAGTGTGGGCCATACCTGATATGTATATATATATATATATATATATATATATATATATAGAGAGAGAGAGAGAGAGAGAGAGAGAGAGATTACAGTATACATAAATACATTTATAGTACATGTAGACAATTTATTTCGTATACAATACACGATAGAGGAGGATTCTTCTAAACTAGTCTTATGCTCTGTTTGTACTACTACTAATAATTTCTCCTTCACGTTCCCAGTGGAACATAGGGCTTCAAGCTGGTGGCTTGAAGTTTCTGTAGCTGTATTTATTTTACAGGATGGGGTTGATAGCCTCATACCCAACCTTTTCTCTTTACCAGCATTACTACTTCTGGCTTAGTGAGGTAAAGGAGTGCGTCGGCCGGGGATCGAACCTCAGACCGTGTGCATGGTCGGCGAGCGTCGTAACCGCTGCGCCACCGACGCACTGTTTGTACTAGGTGTGTTAATATCAAGCTATTGATGGTTTTTACTGCACCTTTATTGAGTTATGCAGATAGGTGCTCTCCAGCAAGTTTCTAGAACAATAGGCGGCATTACTGACCACAGGGTAACACGCGTAATCTATGAGTACCAATCTATTCCCGTATACGCATCAATGATGTCAATACGAATTAATCTGTAACGATTATGGATACATAAAGCTGCAGCACACCTGATGACTGACTGACTAAGTTTCAATGTAAAACTTTGCACAAAAGTACACCCGTTTAAGTTAGTATACTGCATGAAGCATACATACACGTAGAGGCGAAAAATGTGAAGGAACTATGATTAACAGAAATCTAAAGGAGATAAAAATATAGTGACATGGAAAAATGTTAGAGCTTTACAGATCTAGGGGATTACAACGAGTGAGTATATTTGTGTCATCGACAACAGTTCTAAGCCATATCACATCAACAGGTGTAAGCCATTAATTCCTGAATGATTCCAAGGACCCCCAAAAACAAACCAGGCAGTATGCATATCTCCACATTAAAGACTCCAGGTTTTGACAGGACCATGCCTAGCTTACCCCCAACTTAATCTTATGTCAGCTAACATATAAGGAAAGTGGTGTCTTGGCAGTAGAACCTGTTGAAAAAGTTGTCGAAAATGAGTACCCCTTGTTTGAAAATGTCAGTCTTCATAAAACGTTTATAATAGGCACCTTATATATATATATATATATATATATATATATATATATATATATATATATATATATATATATATATAATGAACTTACCAGCTCGTCCATCAAGTTCTGAGAGATTTTTGTCTCTTTCTAATACTTTATCAACATTTACTCTCATGATATCAACAACTTCATTTACTTGTGCTTGGGTTTGTTGTAAACGTTTATTTGTTTTATTCATTGATAATGTTCTCTCTGTCATTGTAATCAATTAAATATTATGTAATCGCATTAAATATATATATATAAATATATATGTATATGCATTTAGTGTTACAGTTAATCCAAATGTTTATAAGACTGCAGAGATTAAAAACCAGAAATTTTGAGATATTTATGTATGTGTGATTAGAAAATTTTTTATTAATTCAACTAGATGATTCTTTTCTGTTTCTGTAATAGATCCCCCCAAAAAATAGTGTGTTTGATTAGCATGTACACATAAAATCGTGTGCTTGTTCAGTGTCACTTATGAAACTAAGGAAAGGTTAGATTAAACTACTGAAATATATATGTGTGTGTCTGTCTCACGATTAACAAGAACAAGAACATTATCATTATTAACAATATTATTATTAGTAGTAGTATGAGTAGTAGTAGAAGTAGTAATAGGATTGTTCATGTTTTCTCCACCATATCAGCCTGGTTAGCAAAAAAAAGGAAAGAAAGGCAGCGCATAGAATCACATTTATACTCCCCTATTTTTGGAGAAAATTAAGCCAATGAAGAAAATTCTAAAATGTATGTATGTATATAATTATAATAATAAATAAACAAATGAATAAATAATGGGATGACATATATTGTGAAAATAAACTCACGTTGTGAGTTTATTTTGGTTGAGGAAAAAGGGAAACAGATGTTTATAGGGTTATTTGTTATTAAATGAACTTTTTAATGAGTATTATTTATTCACTCATTCATTTATTCTTTGTATTCCCCAGTGGAATATAAGGCAGTCAACAGGGCATATATCTCTAATGCATTCTGTTGTCTATAATCCCTTTCATGAATTGTCCATGTCTAGTTCCTATTGCTTACCTTTTCGCTTTCAAAGAATCAAGAGGACTAATTTTTCTTTTATTCATTTACGTTCCAAGTGGGATATAGAGTTTCAATTTAAAGGGCATTGGTGCTTCGCTTTTACGGGATAGGATTGCTAGCCCAACATTCCCTTTTTCACCGGTCTTATTACCAGCTTAGCGAGGTAAAGCATTGAGTTAAATTGGTAGACTGGTTTCTTCTTGAAGATCTTCACAACACCAGGAGGCTTTCTTTCTGGTTCAAGTGGAGTTTGGTTTTTTTTTTTTGGTGGTTTTAAATTTCAGTAGAGGTGTGTGCTAGTCCCATTCAAATTTCCTTGTTTTTTTTAAACTGATGACAGGGGTTAATAAACTAAGTGAGGTTTGAAAGTTTTTAATAGCTTTATACAATTTCAAATAATTGTCAATTGAAATACTATCCTCTCACCCTTCGAAACTAACAACAATGAAAAAAGGAAAGAGACGAAATATTTTCATAACAGTTCATAGAATTGCTTACACGCCGGGGTTTGAAGCATAAGCCTTAATTCGATTGAAAAATAACACTGAATCGGATAACAGCTGGAGTAGTTATCACTTTCTTCGTTGAGCAATGTGTTAGGTTACACAGTATTCAATTAGAAAATTGTTGAGTAGAATGGCAAAATCAAAACATGACATCAATCTACGAAGTCTTCTGTTGCCGGCTTGAGCCAGACACGTAAGATATAAGCTATCTGACTTATTGAAGTCGTTAGGATAGAACCAATGGCTTGATATTATTGGTGATGAGGTTGAAATTTTTTTTCAATGTTACAGATGCATTCACTCTTTGTAATCTCGTTTCCATCTACTTATTGTTTCTCCAATAAATTCGGGTTCATTAAAAAGTTTCCTAGCATTTTTGCTTGACACTTATGTGCTTTATGCAGTTTGTCAGCTTGAACTACTGGTCTTTTGTGCAAAGTTTACGTTGGAAACAGCCAGTTAGATAGCTTATATAGGAATGGAAATTATTTTACTAGAGCATCTAAAACCTCCACATAGGATATGGCGACTCAGGACCTAACCAGTTCATTCACAGAGTACTTTAATACCGTTTCCCTTGGTACTAATGTCCGACTAAATGAAGTACAGCAGCCAATAGACTAAACAGCATTGAACACAATAAAAAAAACTCCTAATGAATACGCCTCAGGATATATATATCTTGCCCCCCCCTTAATCTTTTCTGGGCTACTTAAGAAAGATTATTACACTGAGGACACTAAAACCTGTCAATAAGGCTAGTGGGATGTCGCTAAATCAACTCGTAAATACCATTGTAGATAGGCATATGGACTTATGCAATAAATTAGCGAATATTATCTTGTCAACCTTGAGCATCCTCTCTATACCCTACTCTTCGTGCATCTCATCAGGTAGAGCTAGAAGCGACTATAGAAGACTATATGCTCGTACGATTAATTATAGAAACTCTACAATACCTTATTTGGTCGGGACACATTTTATGTGATGCGAAAAGTCTAAGGCAGGACACTGCCAACTTATGGTGAAACGCTAAGTAAATGACCCTCTTTTTAATTACTGTACAGTTGTCTTTGATATTTTCGCTTAATTTAACACTTTTATTGAACGATATTATCAATTTAAATGCACCACTTTAATCATTACCCCTATAATCAGCGAATTAGATGCATTAATGTACCACATGCTAAAAATTTCCCATATGCACCAAAAAGTACTGTTTGCAATAAAGCTACTCTTATTATAATAAATACCAGAGATCTGGAAAATATTACTAATAATAAAATCGAAAGACAAGGAATAATGGAATTACATAAACAAAGTTTAAAGGCTATGCAAGTGCCTTGATATGATCGCAAGCAATAGCGATTTGTACTAGAAACGACTTCATCCGTAACTAAATAACACTGCATCACTCACTGTGAGAGCCAGGCAGGCTTTAGACCAGGAAGAGGGTGTATTGATCATATCTTCACCCTCCGACAGATTCTAGAACATAGGCATTCCTACCGGCGTCCAACAGTCATTATATTTCTTGACCTAAAGGCAGCATTCGACTCTGTCGATCGGGAAGTTCTCTGGAGATGCTTGGCTGTAAAGGGAATCCCGAGAAAATATATTGCATTGATTAAGGCACTCTACTCGTACTCATACAGCCAGGTGAGGGCTTACGGCGAGCTGTCATCTGAACTGATGACGACCAGTGGTGTCCGTCAAGGATGCCCATTATCTCTTTTTCTATTCAACTTCATCATAGATGTGTTAATGGACTTAACCCTAGGTGACTTCAGTGACTCAGGGATTGACTTGCTACCGGGGAATAATCTCGTTGACTTGGAATATGCAGACGATATAGTCCTTCTAGGCGAAGACGCTGACGAAATGCAGAGTCTTCTAAACACCTTGAGCCGCAATCTACGAATGTTTGGCATGCGATTCGCTCCCGCCAAATGCAAGATGATGTTACAGGACTGGACTACATCGACGCCTAGTTTAAAAATAGGAAGTGAAGTGGTAGAGCACGTTGACCGCTTCACTTATTTGGGAAGTACCATCAGCCCCAACGGGCTGATCTCTGACGAAATCTCAGCACGAATACAAGGGGCTCGTTTCGCATTTGTTAGTTTACGCCGACTCTGGCGTAGACGAGATGTTCGACTATCGACCAAAGGGCGGGTGTACTGCTCATCAGTCCGCTCCGTCCTCCTTTATGGTTGTGAGACCTGGCCACTGAGAGTGGAAGACATGAAAAGACTAGCTGTCTTTGATCATAGGTGCCTGCGTTCTATTTCCCGTGTAAAGTGGCATAATAAGGTGAGCAACATGGAGGTTAGGCGTAGAGTTCTAGGTAAACAGGGGAAATCAATCGACGAAGTCGTGAAGCTACAAAGACTGAGATGGTTAGGACATGTGTTACGTATGCCAAGTCATCGCCTCCCTCGACGAGCAATGTTAGTGGATATAGGGTCAGGCTGGAAAAAAGCTAGCGGCGGTCAAACAAAAACTTGGCTTTACCAGTCAATGAAATCCACAACAGTTGGTCTAAGCCACGTAGAAAGGTGTAGACTTCCAGGCTGGGGTCCTCGGGACGGTGAAACCCAGTGGTTGGAAACAATTGGTGACATGGCTCAAAATCGTTCTCAGTGGCTAGCGCAGATGCATCCACTCCCTGTGACTTATGATCTTCAATGAAACTGTTTTGTTCTTCGTTATTACTCCTTTGTCTCACACTTCTGCTCACTGTTTCTATTATGCTTTTCTTGTACTTTCTTCTCTTGCTTCGCGTGCTACACGGAATGTGGCGACTTGAACTTCCGCACATTTGTGCAAAGTTCTATGTCGAAAACAGACAGTTAGACAAACTGAGGTAAAGTTCTTCTCTACCTAATTCAGCTTGAACAACTGGGTATTATTACTAGCCTTACGTCAGAAAATGAGCTCAGTGTAAGTGAATTCAAACCAAAATGAGTTAACTGGGAGAAAGAAAACATAAAACCATTATTATTGTTATTTGTTATTATTACTATTATGACTAACTGCACAATTGATATTCACCATCTTATTACCATATACACAAAACACCATGACTGGTTTATATTCGAATTTTTATTTTAAAAGTAATGTATATTAGAGTTAAGCCTGATGTGACATAATTGAAAACAATATTGTTCGCTTTAATGTGTTGTTATAAACGTAAGGAAATAAGAAGTTCGTCTGAGGATATCGAGTTATGCAAATCTAGAGAACTCCAATGTCTTACGATTAAGTATACATTCAACGGAAAAATGTGTTAGTATAATATGACATAAAATTAGTATTATATATCATAAATATATATGTATGTATACTTCTATTAGTTACTCCAGTAAGTAGCGCTATGTTGAACTACACTGGTTCATTGATAAAATTAGCTAAAACGCCTATCTTTCTTATTTCACGTATTTAATTATTCCAACAACAAAAAGTATGCCGTTAGACCACAACTTATGAAAACAAACGACGGAAACCCACTGTTACGTAAGTACTCAAAATACACAGCTGCAACTCCGAATTCAGTATCCAATGCAATCTTCATGAGATGGTGTGTATCAAATCTGTTTCGTTCTTCCAGCCTCTTTGTTTTGAGGTAAAGGTTCCAACTCTGGTAAACTTC